CTCTCACTCTCACTCTCACTCTCACTCTCTCACTCTCTCACTCTCTCACTCTCTCTCTCTCTCTCTCTCTCTCTCTCTCTCTCTCTCTCTCTCTCTCTCTCTCGGGACGCAAACTTTCGACGCAAGGGTACATCCCCCGTGCGCTGGCGAAGATGAAGAGCCCCGCCGAGTTATAAGTTGACCATCTCTTTGCCATGTAATAACGCGCTTTGTCCGGGCCCCAAGGCACGATATTAAGCATTCCAGGGCAACGATGCAATAATGCGGGGCTATCCGATGCATAGGAACTAAAACAGGAACGGTACGGGCGAATTTAAAATATTCGCCGAAGATATTGCCCCGATCACGGTTACGCACGCAAATACACGTATATACACATACAGAAAGAAAGATAGAGAGAGAGAGAGGGGGGGGACGCTGTATAACATAATTTCGGATCGGGATCTTTGGTTCCGGTATTTCTTGCTCCACCGAGTCGCGAATCTCTCACTTTGACCTACGGGAATGGACTATACGACGGTCTTAACTGGATTATTACATTCCTTCGTCCCGCTGGACGAAAACTGATTATTACCGTTCTGCCGACGTGAATGAAAACGGCGGGGATCGGGGTGAATCGTGAGAAATCTCCGCGAGATCGCGATACGCGACGGGACCGATCGGCGGAATTCATTTCTCATTCCCGGAGTGTAACGAACCTTCATTAATAAAACTCGTTTGGACGCTCGTTAGATGGAAAGGTTGGACCGGCCCGATAACTCCTGTAAACCTTTCCACGACTCATTAGAGCTATATTAAGCCGCGCCATTACACCGATTGCTTATCGATGACGCAACGGGAGGAGATCGTAACGGTCGCGCGCCGATCGTGTGCGCGAGCTGAAAATCTATCGATGTGTAGCAGCTGTGAGTGATGCCAAGGTGGCCACTCGTTTGCCGGGGTATCTTAGCGACCTCGCGATCCATACGAACGCGATGTATAATCGATTAGCATACGCCAAACCACCTACTGAATAAGATAATTAAGTGCTACACGAAAAGTAGCTTGTCGACATTTTATCTTTTTTTTTTACTAGAAGCAATGACATCCATTAAGTATCCCATACATATCATCTGCTATTTCACTGACGTTTTGAGATTTTATTAACGGGTCATTCGTGTGCCTAGATAATTCTTTGAGCCCAATCTTGGTAGAGTCAGGTATCTTATACACACTATCTACTATTTTAGCAATGTTTCAAGGTTTTAACGCATTGCCCGAGTCGAAATTTTGGCCCTATGTTGAACCTTTAATTCTATTATACAATAGGACCTAAGAGAGTAAAAGAGGTCGAACTGCAAGTACAAAATCCTACTTTAAAACTGATAGTGTCGGAAATTTCTACTTTTGCCAATTTAATTAAAGTACGGATGCTTTAGGCCCGGTCTACAATGAGTCGTTAGTCGTTAGTCAGAAATCGCAACTATGTGTTGATCCTTTTCCTTTCTGGGTGGAAGAAAAAGGACCGACATATAGTTCCGACTTCTGACTAACGACTAACAACTCATTGTAGACCGGGCCTTATAGATCATTTTACTGGCCAAGAAGTATTTAAGATGATTCTTAAATATAAAAATGGACATTAAACAAGCAACCAAATTTGTTATAAAATACGATATATATGCCAAGCAGACTTTGGTATTCTTGGTAGAGTTTTAAGGCCGCTCTAACGATTACGTTGTTTCATTTTGCAGATATGAAACCTTCGGACAGGAGCGAGAAGACCATGTTGTCCGGAAACGCGCAACCGTCGGACGTATTCTGTTCGGTCCCAGGACGATTATCGTTACTAAGCAGCACCAGCAAGTACAAAGTTACGGTAGCGGAGGTACAAAGACGACTGTCGCCACCGGAGTGTTTGAACGCGAGCCTCCTCGGCGGTGTCTTACGAAGGTAAGAGTCCCGATTTAAAAGCGATTTCGCACAAATAAATCCCGCGCGCGGAAATAAATACGCGTCGATCGCGTATTCCTGTCATGTATCCTCGTCGCGACCCGTCGAGATTCGCAGGCGCGAATAATTCTCTCGTCCCTTTCCGCTTTTTCTCCCCGGCTGAGTCCTCCCGGCAAAGGTAGCCGGAGAAAGAAGGTAAGACGGCTCATTCATCCGCTTTTAATCGCGTACGCCTCGAACCCTCGCCTCGGGCTCTCGGTAACTCGCGAGCAAACCGTTAGAATAATTTGGCGGAAGATTAAATGTTATTGCCGTAAGAATCAGCGCGGCTTTGAAAATCGACATAAGTGGCCGACACAGTGATGGACAGGATAGTTGCGACACGTTTTTTTAATAAGTTTAGGAACATGCGCTTAGTTTGTGAGTTACGTTTCCAAATCTTCTTCCCCCGAGGAATATTTTAACCGATGGCCATCCCGAAACCATTTTGAGCGTTTCCGATCTATTTCTAGTCGAGTTCCTAAACTCATTTTTCAAAAACGTGCCGCAACTATTCTGTCCATCGCTGTACCGTAGTCCGAACGAGAATCGACAACGTTTGTAGTAGATTGTTCTCGATAAACTTGGTTGTCCATATATCTTATTATAACTTGGCATCTTTCTGCACTGAGAAAAATGTCCGATTAAATATAATCGGATAATCCAATTACATGATAACAAACGGATATGTCCGATTAAATTGTATATCCGATGAAAAATTTGATCGGTTTTTCAATCAAATTTCATCGGTAATTGCATTTCATCGGATAAATTTCATCGGATATATCCATAATTTAATCGGAAAACGTAATCGGAAAAATTAACCATCGGACATACTATTTAATTGGTTTATCCGATGAAAATTTTTCTCAGTGTGGTTACAAATCAACTGATGCCTCTCTTTTAGACTTGAATTAAATGTTTATCCGATAAAAACAGATTTGTAGAAGCCCTCCACAACCCCCGCCGAATTTTTATCGGCGGTTCTCTTTGTTTTGCAATAAAATCGTGGTTTTACATTTTTATATATAATTATTTTAGTGTAATTTAATACATTTTATTTAAAATATAATATATTAGCTTGCAAAGATTTTTCTCTTAAAGGTATATTTTATTAAGAGTATTTTATTAAAGATACTGGCAAATAAAATTATATTAACGGTAATACATTGCAGTAATAATTTTACCTATCTTTTTAATTATTATAATTAATTATTATAGATAATATTACCTATCCTTTCAATTACCTACCCGTATTCCGCTGTATATGATAATCCTATCTATTTTCCTACCTACCCGCGCTTCAACTTTTTTTTAACAAACCTACAAGTCTTCCGTTAAAACCGCGACGCGATTTATAAGAGATCCGATTTGGGGTTTACACGCACATATGCGAGAATATGTAAAGAAGATAAGAGTATAACTGCCACGTTTTCTAATGTCCAGGGCGTATCGCATTCGAGGATCACCTAAAACCCAGCCGTGGCAGCTCCCGGGCTTCTCCTTGATCCCCGAGCTTCCTTACGGAGGAAGCTCATTGAAGACGTAACAATCCGCGCGGTCCCGGATATATGTATCGCGCGCTCTGTTACGGCTCGCCGCGGTTGTTGCGGCCGCGCGGTAAGAAATGAAATACGAAACGCACAGCGCGTTGCGCATTACCGCCGACATTTCCGGCCGCCGTTTCGAGGTATAATCGGTATTATAACTGGACGCGGCGCGCGATCGGGACAATGCGCGCGCGCGTGAAAAATCGCGAGACGCGAGACGTTGTTACACGGCTTTATCCGCGGGACTAATTAATAAACCCGCGCGCTCAGCTCATCCGGCCGTCCCAACCGGGGCACGGACAGCCACCTGATTTATAGACGCTCCTCGCGGGAGAGCACCCCGCCTTTATCTGATTCGTCGTTTTATCCGGCTAGAGCACCGCTCATTGCGCAATGCTTTATCACCAAAGGCGTGGATAAATCGCCGTGCGAGCGGCCAGACGCACACTGCCACGCACTCCGCACGACTTTTCGCGCTGGACCCCATCTCTCGCAGCGGACGTTACGAAATTACCGTTGAGACATCGCGAAATCGCGTGCGCCTCGCTCCATTGCCTGGCTGATCTCTCCCGGGAGAACGCGCAAGGGACGAATTCACATTGCAACTAAGCTCGCGGAAAAAGTCTCGATTTAATGAAATAAACAACTGAATTTTAACTCGGCCCTTTTTAAGGTGTAAATCAATTAGAAACGTAAACGCCATGGAGGACCTGGCGCAGGTGGAGGTAGCCAATTAAATTAATGAAATAAATGTATATAACGCATCCCGATGGTCTAGACGTTGAATATATTCGATTAGACTTGCGGTTTTCAACCAGTGTGTCGGGAGAATTTTTATAACATGCGATAGCTGTTTAGCCAGAAGCACTGACCTCTTTTCCCTTAGATTGCCAAATAAAAATATTGTTTGATGTGCCGCGGAATTTTAGTAATTTAAGGCCGGTATTCATAGAGTCAGATTATAGTATAACTAGTACGTTCACTATCTGTCGGCCCTTGGATCTTTTCGGTCCCGATCACGTGGTATTCCGCCGTGTCTTTGGTCCAAATCCAGCGGCGTATATGTACAGTGCTGGGCAGAATGGTTGCAGCACTTTTTTTAATGTGTAGGAAAGTTCATTTAGATTCAGGTTTTTGTGCCGAAACATTTTCTCTGAGGAAAATCTCACTCGAGAAATAGATCAGAGACTTTCCGCAATAATTTTCTGTATTATTACAAATGCGTGGTCAAGAAAACGTTGTTAATTATCGCTGGCGACGTTGAAGAATTCTTATTAGACAGTTGTGAATACTGAAAAAAAAAATTATATGAAGCTTCGTTGAGTCATTGCTAATTCTACATTATTCGTCACAAAATACTGAAGTCTGAAGAAAAGTACGCACTTTCCGCGATGGAAGAATCCCAACGCGCGCGTTTTTCGCGTATCGCGCGAACTGTTTCGTGGCCGAAGTGACGGAGCGCGGCAAATCATTCTTGCCGCGGCGCGGGCCGCTAATAAAGCGGACCGATCTATACCGCCGATGCAAATGAGACATTAATAACATGCGCGGCCGCGAGTGTCAATTCCTCGACGTGCGATCGAGCGCGCTCGCTCGCGCTCGCTCGCTCGCACGCCTCGAGGCGAGCGCGCGGCATCTCGCACCGGCCGCGACGTTATAATTCATCCGTTCGCATAGCGATCTGACCGATAATTATACGCGCGCTCGTCCGAGACTCGCCACCATAGATTCTCTTCTCTTTCTCTCCTCCCAGTGCCCCTCGTTTTGTCTTTCCCGCCTCGGTTCTCGGTCTCGTTCGCGGCGATTCGCGTCCACGAGGGCCCAGAATCGTCGCTCGCGATACGCCGCGAGAGATCGTCTCTCGAAGATCGATTGCGCCGTATCCGTTGTTGCGACGCACGCACGTGTGTCTGTGTCCGCGCCTCCCGTTTTGTTTTCACACCGACCGATTTTCGATCGCCCTGAGCGTATGCGTTTCGCAACGCACGCTTTCTCACACGCACGTGTGCGCGTTCTATTTATTTTTGTTCTCATTGTACGGACGCGGCACCGGACTCGTTCTCCACGTATTAAATCAGGTACCAGGCGTCCTGGTACCAATTGGCGTCCACGAGGAACGTCGTGGACTGGCGAGCGAGAGATTCGGATAAGCGAGCTGACAATAGCAGTCAATTGGCTTCTTTGTTACGAGGCAGGATAGATTAATACAAAGCAAAGCTGAATAAATACGACTTACAAACAAGCGGCAAGCGAGAAGCGTACCGAAATAATATCATGTTCGAATCGATGATATCAAAACACACGGAGACTCACGGAGAGGATTCAATCAGTTTACAAATGTATCATTTATGAGCTGTTATAGTAAAAACAAATGCACAAATGTTATTCGCTGTGGATGCGTACAATTTCTTCGTATTTAATATGTTCTGAGAGATGCGACTTTCGAGCATCGACGCGAAACAGCCCATTGGCGTTTTGTCCAATCTGAAGTTTACCTGAGATTAGCAAAACTCTCACCTGCTCCGCGTAAATTGCTGTCGGACAGGCTTCCACGATTGGCCACCATCTGCCTGGGAGTCCGAAAATCGCGCGCAAGGTCAGTCGAGCTTGAGAACAAGCCTGACGCTGTAGGACAGAAGTTCTGCCGATCTAGAATTTATCTGTCCGTTTTCCTACCGCAATGTATTCATATTACACTGATAGAAAAATATGTAAAATATGTAGTATTTGAAACTTTAATTGCATAGTAAAATAAGTATAGTCAGAAATAACATTTTTATAGTAATTATTACTATAATATTAGTAATAGCAACCATATAGACACAGTAATGCCAACTATAACGCATTGTTAGGTCAACCATAACTTACGTAGTTGAAAGAATTAGAAAAATGTGGTTGCTCCTAAAACGACTATAAATCATAGTGAGATTGTGGCAACTGCAACCATTTTTTTTCTGTCAGTGTAGAATACATTATACGTGCATCGATATTATTACGTAAGCTGTAGTCACGCTGCTTCGATAGTTCGATTTTACTTTTGCGACAAAAAAATGGCGGCGTAGAGAATCTATCGCGTATTATTCTCTGGGTGCGATTCTCATTAAATCTGTTAATCATAGAAATATAGCGTCGGGCGATCGATTTAATTTATTCGCACGAGCTATAACATTGCGATATCACTTCCTTGAGCAACCACAAGACGTCGAACAAACAAAATTCAAAATAGTTTTTTTTTTAATCGTGTGGATGTTCTGCTAATTGTCAGATATTATTTTAGTGTGATTATCAACTCCAGCCGTTTATTAATTATTGAGTAAATTTTTAAGTAGAGTTTCATTATTTTATTTTTATGAAGGTAAAAAGTGTGGAAGGAAAATCTAACTATACAACTCATATTATTCATATTTTGCTATTAATATTAATAGCAATATAAAATTTTATTACTCGTTATTCCAAGTCTTTGAGAGGCATATGATTTTTAAACTACGTTGAATCTTCTAACGAGAGTTCTAGAAAGTTAATAACGTACGATACTATCAACAAAGTGAAATATTATAAATATATCTTATAGAAGATACAGGTGTCCGTATATTTTTCCAATATATTTCTTTTTTTTTAATCTTCGTAATATACGGAAGGATAAAATCAGCAAAGAAGCATTGGAAACCTTGAATATTTCAATTATCTGCCACATTCCACTCGGAGATATATTTTATCGCTAATCATAATTTCGCCTCGTTCTCGCGAAACGAACGACAAAGTATATTTGAATGAGCCTTGATCATAAAGTCCTTTGGTTTTCTGACGTCGCGTGGCGCCCGTTGACGATTAACGATGCCAGACGTTCGAGGACGTCTCGAGCAATCAGAGGGAACAAGGGGGTCCGCCATTCAGCGTCTTCCTATCGGTGGAATCGCCGAGGGTTGCGAGTCTCGCGGAAATCCTTACGTAGAGGAGAGCGTTGCGTCTGAGTGGGACGAGGATTCTTCTCGGGACAAGTCCCCGGTAATGAGTCGCAGCATCGTTCTCGTCACGTACCGTCGAACGACGGCGAGAGCGATCGTTAAGTATCGAGAATCCGATCCGGTCGCACGACCGCGGTCAATTACATTCGTCGAAATTCTTCCGCCGTGCGTCGGAACATGCGGAATCAACCTGCGACTGCTCGATATGTAATCGATGATGATTATTGCACCGCTTGGAACCAGTTAAAAAATCTACATTGATATATAAGGTTCGATCGTGGATCGCTTTATATAAATTGCGACGAGTGATAACGGAGAGCGCATGTTGAAAACTCAACTATAAATCGAGAGAAGAAATTATTATACGCAAAGTTTGTTCGAATAATTGTTAATAGCATAATTTCAGATAATTAAATTCCTCAAAATTATTAAAGAAAATATTTTATAAAAACGTTCTTAGCCGTAGACGTAATTAATGCAGGATAATTAACCGCTCTCTCTCTCTTTCTCTCTTTGGTTTCGATTTAAAAACAAATATCGCCGAATAACACGTTAGAGCGCGATTCAGAGAAAATAAAACGAGCGAAATGCCCTTGGAGCATAAACTCGGAGGAGCCGATATTAAAAACCTATAGCGGTAAAATATATTAATTGCCGAGCGAGACGAAAGATTACCGGGCGGACCGGGTAGCCGAACCGAACAAAGGTAGGCGATACGCGTTACCGTTATAACAGGCCAGGATGATGGATGGACAGGGTGTGTTAAGAAAGAAGTCCCTGCTACTATCGCGTTCCCGTTGGTGTCCCACGAAAAAATTTACTTCGCGGCTTCTTACTTCGCCGATGGCTTAACGACACGAAGTCGCTGTCCGCTCTTGTAAAAGGATTAAAACGCAATACTTGATGATGTCTCGATAGACTTCGTCCGAAAGAACACGTGGGACGCACATCTGCCACACAATTCAGTGCGAAATAAAAGAGGCCGGTTAGACTTTTTTTGTACAGAAGCATATATTTAACTAATAAAGGTCATTCGTTCTTCATGAAGCTGATTTCAAAACTTGCATTTATTCGATGCGATATTAGTCAAATTACTCGTGTTGTTCAACATTGAAAGGACGTACACACTGTCCTTATATCCTTTAATAAAGAGCCATTTCAGCTAATGAAGCTATTTCTATTTAACGTAGTTTGCCAAGTACTTTGCATCTGTAACTAGCGTTTAAATTATGATTTCAGTCTTAATGTTACATTACCGTCAAATGCTCTTTGAAACAACAACATCGCGATTGCAGCGAAGAAGTGTTAATTTTAATCAATCGTGAAACATAAACGCTTTATCTTTACGCTCACACGCGGGGCGTTACGTCGCCTAATGATTAACCCAGATACTACGTGTCGGAGGAGGCCATAAAAGTATTGATAAAAGTTCTATTCGCCTGTGATGTGCTCACGCTTCAGCTTGAATAGCTCGCTCTGTGCGAAGAACACAGTGCTCCTTTCTTTCGATTCTATTCCGCAAAACGCACGTGCATAAACGGTACGAGCGCATCCTCGAGCGCGCGTCGAGCTTGCTCAATCGCCGATGACACACGCAGACCGCGGATTATGCTAATCCAACCGTATTTCCCTCTCGTTACTGTCTCTCTCTTTCTCTCTCTCTCTCTTTCTCTCTCTCACACACCGCGATTTCATCTTTTTAGAGATCACGGCGAAATGATTAATGGAGGAGTTCTGTTTCGAAATTCTCACGCGTCGGGTCGAAACGTGGGCGTTTGCGTGCGTCCGAACGGGTATTACATTGTATTTGGCGAACGGTAGAGAAATAATTGATCGATAAATATGACGATGAACCATTGAATTTTGCGGCGTATGTAAAATTCACGCATATAAATCAAATTAATAATCGTCTCTCTGACGTAATCGAGTCGATTTGGGTAACGATGTCGTTACATGAGAACATTAACTCGACCGAGGTTAGCGATTCGTATCAAATGTTAATTGTACCAGACGCAAATGTGTAATGACTCTTGTAAGAAATGAGAAAATACAAAGGTTAGCTGCAAAAATACTTTGAAAAGTTGTACAAGCAACATGGGAGTCGGATTATTTAGACAATGACACTTGCAATTTGTAACAATGCCCATGCATTTTCGTTGATAAAACGATGTCGCGCTATTTAAATGATATCGTTTAATGCAAAAATATGTTTTGCGTTTTGCAGGGCGAAATCCAAAAACGGCGGGCGTCTGCTTAGGGAAAAACTGGAAAAAATTGGTTTGAATCTGCCAGCCGGTAGAAGGAAGGCCGCCAATGTCACGCTCTTAACATCTTTAGTGGAAGGTAAGTGCTTTTACTTATTCCAAAAGTCCTAATCTACAAGCTAATTGAGGGATTCATAAAGGAAACATGTGACGTTAGGCTCCGATAAATCTGAAGCATAATGTATATTACAGGCTTAATGGTCTTAAAATAATTAAATATTAATATATTGCTGATTTATGACTTCGCTAAGTAGATATGATCGCGGGAATACACATACATTATACATGATCGTTTCTATTCCTGATTTTCAAGTTCTCAACGTTACTTTACATACGAATTTTATGTACAAACGGCCGCTTTCACTGATACGCGATCGAGTCGAAGGCCCTTCCGCTTGAAATCACGGAATTAGAATTTTAGTCTTGAAAAGAGGCTGAGATAAATCTGACTCTTCATTTATTATACCTTCAGCTTGATCTTAACTGTTAACGATATAATGATTCGAGGAATGATTGAATAGATAAGTTATGAACAGGACGCTGTCCAACGAGATTTTTCGTCGCAGAAAAATCGTGTTTGAACCGTTAAACACGAATCGCTACGTTTAAGGGAAAGCGCACATTTCCACACATTTCCAGGACTGCTTGTACATACATGTTTAAAATAGTGACCGATGCAAATTACTTCCTATTACCTATATATTGTAAGTTAACAGACATTGCGTTTGTCAGGCGAAGCAGTATTAAGGTTGCTTGTGAACTACACAACATCCTCGTAAACTCCATTACATGTTGAAGCGGGTACAGCGTACGCTCGTCCCATAAAGCGCGCCGATGAAATCATCTCTGTGAAATAACGCGAACGTAAAACCTCTTTCCTACGCGGTAATGGTGGATGCGTCCTTTTTCTTCACCGGTAATCGTTTTCCTCATTAGCAACATTGATCGTATCCGGTACGAACGGCAAAAACGTATAACCAAACGGAAAGCTCCCTTCCAAGGTATCCCAATTCCGTAATACAGTCGCAATATTTATACGCAATTTTCACATTCCACCATGGATTAATATCCGCAACGATAAGTTGATATTGGTAATATTTTCGCAAAAAGAATGTTAGAAGCGTTCATATGGCAGAACATCATAATTTGGTTAGTTAGTTTGCTATATATTTCACAAAAAAATACACAGAAGTATTGTAAATTCATCCTTTAATGAATTTCAGATTTTTTTTTCGTAGTAGAGAAGTTTAATAGCAAAAGTCTAATAGAAGAACGTTATTTTATTTTCAACAAAATGTTTCTTAATATTAAATTAACATCGTTTTCTCAATTTAATTCTATAACTAATTAGTTTAATATTAAATTTTCTCTACACTCAACTAAATTTCGATCTAAATCGAGATATTTTGTACTGTCGAATTAATTTGTAGTAGTTATTTTTTAATTTATTAGGAGATTGTCTACATTCGTCTTTTAGTATCTCCGTAGAACGGCTCATTGTCAGTGAAAGCGCTTTAATAAAAAGATACAGATTTTAATCGAACACTTTTAAATCTCAATTGGTTCATATAAATGGACACTTCTCGACCGATTACGAGTTGCAATTTCTAATAATAAATTCAGGCCAGTTGGGTGGAAAATTGTCCACTTATTAATTATCTACTTGCGAAATAAAAAAATTCTCACTTGATAAAACAAATGCTCGTGTGAATTTTCTTCACTAAAAGCAAAATCGATGACGGGCGGACGACGCATTAACGATTGTAACCGTGCGTAATCATGCGTTTCCCCAGCGATTTATCGCGAGCGGTAAATGTAACGCTTTCCGATTTACTGCCGCCGTAATTTGCAGAAGGTTACCTCTCCGCGTTCGCGCTCTTTGCCTTTACCTCTCTCCTCCGCCGTGACTCCGAAGAATTACATTCCTTGCGACGCCCACTTGTCTCGTAGGGCATAGTGATGAAATCATCTCTTCGGAATAGCGCGCGCATCAAGGCGAATTTACACGGTCTACGCTTGATGATCATCCTGAATGAGTCATTTAAGCGGCTGAATGGATTTTTGTTTAGACACGCGGCAACGGTGCCAAAGCTTCGCGAGGTAGAGCAACCTGCAAAGTACTACAAGAAAATAAACGTTAAGAGTCCATTATCTGTAACTCACCTTTAACGCGAACGTTTAATTCGAGAGAGATTTTTGTCTGTTACGGTATGAATTTGTTTAGATTTATTTTATTAAAGAACAAATCCTATTTGATGTAATTTAATTTATAATTACTCCGCTTTCGATTAGGATGATTGACTTTAGACCGATGATTAATTTCTGCTGTTTCAGTATGCCTTAAGCACATACATATTTGAGAAAGAAACGAAGGGACAAAGTAAACCGATTAATCTAACTGTTGTGAATTAAATATTGCAAAAGGCCGTGGAAACTTGGAGAAAACGCGCCGTCATAAATTGAAGTATTTTTTAAAATCAATAATTATTTTGACTGTTCTCTAGTGTTAATTCTGAGAACGCGAAGCTAGAGAAGCGGTTCCATCTTCATTTCTGTCCCATCTGATTCGCTGCGCTTTCATCTCTAAATGATTCTCCCGGATAATCATTAAGGGCGAACCGCGCAAACTCGCTTTAGAGACGTCGCCGTCGTTTCTTCCGCGTTGTTATGACAATAACAACGAGTGCAAGCTTTTTGCACCGGATACAGGACATGCGCGCGGCTAATCAGAGAGAGAAAGAGAGGAGGAGGGAGAAGGAGAGGCTCCTGCGGGATATCCCCATCTGCGCGAGAGAGCGCTTAATAACGAGCGTGCAACAAATGCGTACGCGCGCGTACAATCGCCGTCCCGCGCCTCCGCCAGCAGCACCCTAATGACGCGCCTGGAAGTTTGTTAGAGTGTTGGCACGGACGTTGATTATAATTTATGGGCGGCGTGGCTTCCATAAAACATCGGCCGTGCTTTTCTTTCCGAGGCGAGGCGCGAGACGACGGCCACGCGCGCCGTAACGCTCCTCCACCGACTGGAGAACCCAGGGAGATCCTTGCTAGGATGCAACGAACAAAACGCGTTCGGAATTTTTAAGAATTTTTCCATCCAAAAGCACGCCAATATTTTAAAGAGAGCTATTAGCTCACGGGAACACGCGACATCTCCATTTCCGTTTATTAAGGCCAGTGTCCATTGCTAGAACTTGGCCCAAGTCTAGTCTCGAGAAATGTGTGGCCAATCAACTTGCAGCTATTCCATAAAAGAATTTGAACATTGAAAACCTGCTGTCTCACATTAGAAGCCTATTTCATAACAGGAAACTTTCCTCTACTACTTTCTTACACCGAATTCACATACCTGTTTTATTATAACTATATGACGGATATTAATTCTAGTTTCTCGAGCGATCTTCAGGCTATTTTTAATCACCTTCTTAAAATCTTTCAATATGTCGCAAACATTCAGTCGTTTTGGGAGAAACATACATACTTGGTGCTTGATATTTTACCCGAAATTTGAATGTTTGAATAAAGGTATGACGTATCTGAAGCCCCAATAAACGTGAAACACGATGTAAGTCGATTAACATTTTGCGACGTGAGTGTGTGTAGGTTCAAGATAATAAATCGTATTGTTTTGTTGTTTCCGCCGTGCCGGCAGCCGTGTAGCTGTCGTAACCGTCGCATTGTCACGGTAAAGTGCGCGTAAACTTGTCGATTTATACTTGCCATTAGCTGTCGAACAAACGGAACATTATCGATACACGTTTTAATGATGTTATGATCGCAGCGCGTGTATCCAGCGGATTGGAAATTAATAACAGCCTCGGTAAAGCGAAGCTGGATGACCATTCCCTGAATTTCCGCTTATACGAGCTCGAAAAGGAATAAAAAGTGAAATAGAAAATATCTAATTTATCGCGTCCATCGACGTGGATCGTTAATCTCCTCTTTCCGGTTAATAATTCAGTTGACCGCGCCGGGGAAGAACCTCAAATACGCGTATAATTACCATTTGCATACGGATCATTCCGTATGCGAGCCTGCCGAAGAGATTAGGACGATCGCTGTTATTAAGCGATCGAAAATCACGTATAATGTATCCGTAAACATATGGATTTGCGACAGCTTTGCGGCGATCCCGTTTCTTAATTGGTACTTGGGCCTCTATCGCGCTTTAATGACAGGGGAGACTTCTCAACGATGGTGATGAACTAACGACAGCGACCGCGATATTCTTTTTGCGCGATCTAGCGCGCGGTATAGAAACTCGAGACTCTCGTGTTTTAGGTTTACACGTAAGACCAATGCAATGTTCTGTGAACAATACAGCAATCTTTACAGATCATTTATAGAAGCTGTAATTTGGAATTCTATCGCTTCTGACAAGAAAAGAATGTTATAACCAAAAAGAAAACAGATAAATTAAGGATCGTTGATTTCGATACATACATGATAACAATTCACGTTATAAAATTTATACGAGAAGAAACAGTCATCTTTTCGTTATATCACTTTTTACAATTTACATCAAAAATTTGCAACGTAAATTGAGTTGAAAAAAAGACAGATTCTTAATTTAATTCAGTCACATGGCCACGCGACAGAGTGTTGCAGTTCTTATATTTTATCGTCTTTACAATTAGTCTCACTCGTTATAAGGATCACGTTCTTTCGCGTTTAATATTTCAATCGCCCAAAATGTTAATTTGCTTGAAGCCGGTACCAGACGGATTGAGATTGAGATTAGATTGAAATTGGACGAATTAGAGTAAAATTCACTAACAATAATTAAGCTTTCAATCGGCCATAACTGGTAACGAGTTTTTAACACAGATAATTTATTGCGAAAAATATTATCTCAGCCAGGGTTTAAACCTGGCCCTCCCTACACTCTAATATTTTGCGCAATAAATTTTCTGTATTAAAAACACGTTGTCAGTTATGGTCGATTGAAAGCTTAATTATTGTTAGTCATGTACTGGCGTCGAATATTTCTTAAAATTCACTAAACTCGAGATTATAGTAAACTTTACTTTGATTGGTCAAAATTCAATCTAATCTTAATCTTAATCCGTAGTCTAATACGGGCTTTAGACAAAAAAAACAGAACTCTGCCCGATATACATATAGTGAACCAATAAATCAGGTTAATGGATTCAAGATATTTCCTTATTTCTCGTTCTGCTTACGTCAATTCTCTAATTGTAAATTATTATTACAATTCCTTTTAGAATCTGTTAGCAAGAAGATGATTGTGGATGATTATACACGTGCTCCGCGGTTTTTGCTTTAGTCTAATTATACATATATCTGCGTGCAGAGTAAAGTGAGAAAATTGTCAAAACACGTACAAAAAAGTGATATATCTCGTAATCAAGATTCGTGGTAGTGTCTCGCGCCAAGTATTATATAAACGCAGCGAAACAACACGCGCGAGACCAACTGTGTGTATATGTATATTTACGTGAATACACGAATTAAGAGCCTCTAAGATTATCGGATCTAAATACCGACTGATTCGATTAACTTCTAAGTAGGCTCAATGAATTGCTTGGATTCGATTTACATGTGAAAAGTTTTTTTATTTTTCTCTTATGTGCTCTGCGATACATTTTCTCGATTAAACAGAATTAATCGTTTATTTAATCAATACCAATAAGTCCGCAGAATGATACACAAAACGTAGTAACAGTTACGGAACAAAAAAAGGCAACGAATTCTCAACGTTCGTTGTTTTTCTCTCGGCGCGGTGACGTACAATGTTTGCATGCCATCGTGTACACTGAAGGTCGCTGCGTACTCACTCGCTTGCCGAACGTCGAGCCGGCAAGCAGTGCGTGAGAGTCGCTCCGTGCGTGTTATTACTTTTGCGTTCTCGGTTTCCAAGACTCGATCGCGACGAATATAGGGATAAAACGCTTATTGATTTGTACACCTTTATCAGTAACAAGTAACGTTCCTTGATTAATTACTAAGTTTCTACAACTTGTAACGAGAAACGAATTGCATGTTGAGGCGACGGCTCTTTATCGACGTATACATATTTCACGAGACTAACTCGTATAAAATATGAGTATAAACCGTGGTACTTTGTCGCGGTTACATCTCGTTTACACACCGCGCTTTTAATTATCTATCGGTTTCGTGTAATCTGTTCCATTTTCGGGAAAAGAGAGAAATTTGTACGAACCTCGGCGTTCGCGCTGTAATTCGCTCTGTTATTCTTCGCAATTCGAACGGGCAGGAAGTAAAGGAAGTCGCTTACTGCTCGTCGTTACATTATATAAATGGAATCAACAATTATCTCGATTAACTGTTGCAATTAATAACAACTATTTATCGCTGGAAATTGTGCTCACATAATTTATTTCGAGGATTAGATTGAATGACAAAGATTGTAAAATATCGTTTCGTTGCGGACTAATAACTACTTCTTTACCGCAGATTATGCTTTCGATGCTCGCGTTGTGTTTTATATCGCCAATTCAAAAGTGTTTTATCCATTATCCTATTCTTCCGAACCGAAAATGCAAGTTGTTAGTTTGAGTAATTTGTATGACAGAAAGTCACGCGATATTCGTTAATAATATTTTGTGCGTTTCGCGGTATTTCACATCGCGTACGGGAGTGTCTGAAATTTCGCGCGATCGATGATTTTTGCGAGTGAGTGTTGTGTGAGTGCCACAAGGAAATCTGAGAGGAGGAGGAGGCCAAGGAGGCATCGGGCAACGGCGGAAAAATGGTGAGGTAAGTGTCTTACATTTGTATGTTTGCTACTTATTCAAAATAAAGTATCCGTTGTGTATTTTTATTTTATTTATTCAAATGATTCGATCGAGGATTCGAATAAGTGTTAGAGACAAAACCATACGTATAAAATTTTGTGAGTTTATATTTAAAAGTTTTCAGTATTCTACATAATTATTTTAATAAATACCTGTGTTGAAAAATATAAAATATAAAGTATATTTAATACAATAATTTCGATTTTACATAATTAGCCTATAATAATCATATACATATTTGTATTTTTACAGTTTACCTAACATATACAGTTTACGATGTACAACTCTGCTGTTGCGAATCGTATCAGTGAGTGACAAATTACCTTTTATTTTAAATTGACGTTGCGCATACAATTACTTCTTTGCATGGATACAAATTCTTAAAAATATACAATGCTCAACCGCAAATTGCGCACGGGAAGCGCGCGTTTTGTCATTTCTAGTTTCCTCCTCCTATATAAAAAATGCCGTGTTAAGTCGTTAGTCGAATGTCTCGAAGTATTGTTGTCGCTTTTCCGAGATGCTGATTGGCTGTCTCGCTTGTACGATACGACATGCTTCAGTCGTGTTATTTACAGCTGTTAAACCATGCATTTTAGAGAGAGCAAATGGCGCGCGCGAAGCGCCCGCTTGTGTTGTCTAGTGAGAATAAAAATTGTGTAACAAGAAAGTGTTTTAATGACGGTTTGGTGGAAAATACGAACGCAATAGATTATTTATTAATATTTTAATTATATATTTTTAAATCACACTTTAAAAAAACCTTGCCAATATTTATTTGGTTTTAAATAATGCGGGATTTACACTGCTGTCTAACGTCTAATAGATATATGTAATTTAATTATAGACATATCAGTAGAGAAAAATCCCCTATTCTGAGACAAGCTCCTAATTTAGTAGGATTTCAACTAAATTAATAGGCATCATTTGTTGGTTTCACCATGAATTTATTACTCTTGGAGTAAAATGTGTTTAATGGAAAATTCATTGTTGGATTATGTAAACATCACGAAAAAATATTCGTTGAATTTGGATGTTGAAAGCCGACTATCTCATTTTAGAAGTGCATCTCATAATAGAGGACTTTTGTTTATATGCACGCATAAAGGCAGCATTAAGTTTCAATATATTGAATTTAATGTATCAATGTGTGAAGAATGTTATCTTAATAATGCCAGAAGATGAAAGCATGAATATCATAAAATCATAAATGCTCTGAAAATGTAAGTGCACACAAACACACATACACACGCGCGACAAACATACACGCGCGCGCGCAGGTGCATACACGCATACGCACGCACGGAATTATAAGGTCATAGTTTCATCATTTCTAAAATGATCCGATTGACTCTATAGATAAGTAACGCTGACCGTGAAAATTTATTTAGCTCCAACGATTTCACTGAAAATGAAACGTTTGCTATGAGTTATGTTGAAAAATAATCATTTTCCAGCAGTATTCGTTATTGATTATCATGCTTATAATTATCTCGCACAAATTGTATGGTTTTATTTAAGAGATCGTCGTGAAAAGGGGATATGTAGTAAATATATGTAGTAATGAAAGTGAATTGCGTAAATTGCGTGACAGAAAACAGATGTTCCCCGTTCTCATTATTTATTGATACATTGAACTTGCACATGCACACTTGTACTTTGAGACTCACGTTGATCACTACGCTATCGACTATTGAGAAGGCGATATTAAGTTTCATGTTTTATACATTTTGTTTTATTATATTACATTGAAAAAAATTAAAAAGTAAATTATATTAAATGTCCACGCCGAAGAAGAAAAATCACATTAGGAAAATGTGTTCAATTTATATTATTGTTAAGAATGAACAAGTGACCTGAAAAATAATCCAAAAACTATGCCTTGATCTATGACACAATAACAATAATTTCCAAACACAAAGAAATTCATTGCACTATTATTTATTTTACTCAATTTTATTAATGAATATCTAGAGAAGTACATGTAAAATATACACTATGTATGTACATATCCTAGACCTACGATTCGGATACTTAAAACGTAATTGTTACTTCTTTTCACTTTCTTTGTGTGTTCCTACGGATTGAAGTACCATAACATAGGATACAGACATACTGACGAGCTGGAAATATTAAAAATCTCTTTTTGTCATGGGATTCATCAATATTAAATTATCCGTAATTTCATACCGAATTAAAACCTTCTAACGACGCGTCAAATAAACCTCCAATTAATACAGTACACCTTCTGTTACTTCTTTGTATTATGAGTAGTATCAACTTTTGTATACCTAATGGCGCAGCATACCACTGTGCATTATACCTATTAATACATACACGGATATACATAACAATGTAGCATTTAATATGAATTAATACATTTGATTAAATGACATTATTAAATAATTAAATACACCTCACGATTTTAATTTTTAGTTAGTTCGACAAGTTATATTTAATGAGATAAAAAATCATGTTCGAAATTATTCACATTAATTACAGCCAATTATTATATTACAGCAAATTTTAGAGTCTCAAGAATTGTGAATACAATTAAAATATTGTAACATTCTGTCAACATGTTTACTTACGTCGCTTGACACATGCCACTGCTGCTATCTATGATGTCCTGTCCAATAAAATTTGCCAGAAATATAAGATATATATGTAAACATAAAACGGATCCGTATAGTATTAATTCCACTATTTCCAAGGATGTCACCGCACTAATTAACTTGAATCGAGCATTATTTATTAATTATATATCTCTTGTTCAGTTTTATATTATTTGTATATCACAATAATAATTAATTTTGAATAAGTGTTCGAATAAATTATATTCTATTTTTTCGCAATACATGCATTTGCGCTTACGTTGAAGCAACTGAGACTCATCGAAGCCACACCAAATACTAATATCACGATATACATTGTTGCAAAACTGTTTGTCCAAATATTAATTAAACTGTAACAGCAAAATTTGTACTTATTATTCATTCGTTGCAATAATATTAAAGCCTTTGCGCTCAACCTTTTTTGCGGGGATTTTTAAACATATAAAATTGTAAGAAAAATGGCAATTTATTAAATTCTGTTTTTAACTTCGTTTGTGACTTATTTCTTTTATGGACACAAATTAATATTTGTAATATATTTCAATAATAATTTTGTTGTATTCAGGCAAAGTAGGTTACGAGTGCAAAGGAATAATATGTTCTAATATTAACTCCAAAGCTCTACGATGAACATATACAGCGTTTATTATATTGTTATAAACTACAGATTGTTTAATATCCTTTGGCATTGGTTGTACGTTTTTATCAAATATGTGTTCCATTCGATAGCTATAAAAATACGGATGTATGGATATTAAACTTGTTCTTATGTTATACTTTATAAATAAATCAATAAAGCTTGCGATGTTTAATGGTCATATTTTTACCTGGAGATTCTAAACAAAGCGCAAATGTGCAAAAGGTATGCCATTAGCATTGCTGCAATAATTATTATTGTGATGCCTCCAGCATACAAATTTAAGCACAAATGTGTCAAAATAGCGAAAAAGTACGTTTCCTCGTCAATAAAGTATTCCACATGAACTATTGTTTGTTGCGGTCGCGATTCATTCATTGGTATAATCACATCAAGTATACGGGGTAGACAACTTATAAATAATAATTCCAATATAGCGCCGGTACACGCAACTAAAGCAAAAATATTATGACACAGTGAACATGTAGTGGATGTAGTATGAAAAACAATAAAGTTTATATTTTACTAAAAAAGTACAAGAAATACAGAGACAAAATACAACAGAGTTTATTTTAATTGTACTGACCTGAATCTAAAGATGCTATTAATTTAAAATATTTTATATAACTTTTTAAAACATTTGAATTTGAATGTTTTATGAATATAAGGTATAATGCTTATAAAATGAATTATTAACATTCAAATAAAAATAATATACTAGGAAAAGGACTGGATTGATACAATTTGATTTTATATCTTACGAATAAGAAAGACAATTTGGGAGTTTGCGTAGTTTGCATATTTTCGTAAAACTTCCATTCCTGCCTGACCTTTTAACATATTCCAATCGTATCGAACTCTATCGAAGATATGTTTGATCTATGATCACAAATAAAATGTCTTATTGTGTGAGTTTTTGTGTTTATGTCCTATTAGATACATTTACTATTTTCATATACTTTTAACGGTTTTTTAATATATTGAATAATTATGTCATAACATATGTTGTTATATAAATTAGGAAATAGAAAAACTAAAATGGATTAACAATATTAAATTAATAAAATATTAAAAGTATTAATATAACTGAAATGTTTTAACAAAAAACTCTTACAACAACAGAATTCCAAATGCGTTTAAACGATGTAAATACTTACCTTATCGCTGAGTAGGAGACCTGCGTTATATTGTACAATAAATACACAAGTAAGAACAATATGCGACAACATTTTTATAATATCCTTGAGGCTGTACTGCTTTACAAAAAACGGAATGCACTGTAAGCAGTTACTTTATTGAACGAATATAGCAACCATGCAAAATAAACACTAATTTACGTAAAAAATAATGTCTCTAATATTACAGAGACTTGACAATTGTTGTATCAAAGCGACTTGACGTAACCATTCATTTAAATAAATAAAATACATGTAAAAAATGAGAAATTTAATACCTGGCATATTAGAAAGGATATGAATAACGTTTGGAAAAAAATTATTTGTACTTTCTTGAAAGTTGGATTTTGATAAGGCCACAGACCGAGAGACAGCAGAAGAATTCTATTCAGCTTATAATACCGTTCTCCGGCGAAGTCCATCTTCTACGAAAGCTAAAATGCGTATGTCAGGAAGAACTCTGGAAAACTGTGTTTCTTCCTCTATGTATCAAATTTAGATAGACAATGAGTTTTTCTTTCTTAGACTCATAAGATAATTGTAAAGGTGACGTTTAGTTTACCATGAGATAAATAGCAGATGTGAGAAACTCATAAAGCACCGGTAAGGGGGAAATAGATTTGTGTAGTAAATAAAGGAAATAAAGAGTGAGAACAAATCTGCCCCATTTTTTTTGCATTCGATCTTGGTCACAAAGTAGGTACCAATTGAAAGGTGTGTAGTGTAGTCATGTGTGTACGTATATATGTCGCTTGTAATTCATAATGGCTGCGTAATTCACGCGTAAATTAGCACCCGAACGCCGCGTAGTGACACAACATGCCCTTGTACTCAAAGGGGTATTTGCGAGTCTCTTATAAGAGATTATTAGCTCCACAAGGTTGCGTATCTATATCGCGTTGAGAGAACACCAATTTGTGAGCTCTCTGGTTCCGCAAGTACGGTCGAAAAGAACTCGACGACACTGTTGAAACAACCTATTTTAGCCTATTTATAATTTTTTTTCGCTTAACTTACCCGCAGGAGCATCGCAAAAATGTTAGTTGAGCTTTGACTCTCTATAAGAGATGTGAGGTGTGGTTAGAGACCCTGATTAGCCATACTTCTCAGGAAGTAGTTCTTCCTCTTCTGAGATATCCTCTTCCCATTCGGATGCCTTGTTGATTTTCCCTCGAGGATTGCTAGTGAGCCTTTATTTGCACTCAGGCTATTGAAGTTTTGAATCATGTAGGCGACATAAAATTTTATGCATTATATATTTAGCGCTTGATCATATTATGTTATATTGAGAAACATTGCAAAGTAAATTATATCTGCACCGAAAAAGGGAAATTACATTAGAAATATATGATTAGTTGATATTATTGTTAATAAAGGAAAAGTAATAAAAAATATGTCTTAATCTATGACATAATAGCAATAATTAAAAAAAATGCATTGCATTAATATTTAGTTTGATTTAATTTATTAATAAATATTTAGAGAAATACATGTAAAATGTACTGTACATATTCAAGACCTACGACTCGGATATTTAAAACGTAATTATTACTTCTTTTCACTTTCTTTGTGTGTTCCTACGGATTGAAGTACCATAACATAGGATAGAGACATACTGACGAGCTGTAAATATTAAAAATTTCTTTTTGTTATGGGATTCATCAATATTAACTTAACCGTAATTTCTTACCGAATTAAAACCTTCTAACGACGCGTCAAATAAACCTCCAATTAATACAGTACACCTTCTGTTACTTCTTTGTATTATGAGTAGTATCAACTTTTGTATACCTAATGGCGCAGCATACCACTGTGCATTATACCTATTAATACATACACGGATATACATAACAATGTAGCATTTAATATGAATTAATACATTTGATTAAATGTCATTATTAAATAATTAAATACACCTCACGATTTTAATTCTTAGTTAGTTCGACAAGTTATATTTAATGAGATAAAAAATCATGTTCGAAATAATTCACATTAATTACAGCCAATTATTATATTACAGCAAATTTTAGAGTCTCAAGAATTGTGAATACAATTAAAATATTGTAACATTCTGTGAATATGTTTACTTACGTCGCTTGACACATGCCACTGCTGCTATCTATGATGTCCTGTCCAAAATAATTTGCCACAAATAATACATATATATGTACACATAAAATAGATCCGAATATTATTATTTCCACTTTTTCCAAGGATGTCACCGCATTAATTAACTTGAATCGAGCATTATTTATTAATTATATATCTCTTGTGCAGTTTTATATTATTTGTATATCACAATAATAATTAATTTTGAATAAATGTTCGAATAAATTATATTCAATTTTTTCGCAATACATGCATTTGCGCTTACGTTGAAGAAACTGAAACTCATCGAAGCCACAGCGAATACTAATATCACGACATACATTGTTGAAAAACTGTTTGTCCAAATGTTAATTAAACTGTAACAGCAAAATTTGTACTTATTGTTCATTCGTTGCAATAATATTAAAGCCTTTGCGCTCAACCTTTTTTGCGGGCATTTTTAGACATATATAATTGTAAGAAAAATGGCAATTTATTAAATTCTGTTTTTAACTTTGTTTGTGACCTATTTCTTTTATGGACACAAATTAATATTTGTAATATATCTCAATAATAATTTTGTTGTATTCAGGCAAAGTAGGTTACGAGTGCAAAAGAATAATATACTCTAATATTAACTCCAAAGCTCTACGATGAACATATACAGCGTTTATTATATTGTTATAAACTACAAATTGTTTAATATCCTGTGGCATTGGTTGTCCGTTTTTATCAAATATGTGTTCCATTCGATAGCTATAAAAATACGGATGTATGGATATTAAACTTGTTCTTATGTTAGCTTTTATAAATAAATCAATAAAGCTTGTGATATTTAAGGCTCATATTTTTACCTGGAGATTTTAAACAAAGCGCAAATGTGCAAAAGGTATGCCATTAGCGTTGATGCAATAATTATCATTGTGATGCATCCAGCATACAAATTTAAGCAAATATGTGTCAGAATAGCGAAAAAGTACGTTTCCTCGTCAACAAAGTATTCCACATGAACTATTGTTTGTTGCGATCGTGATTCATTCATTGGTATAATCACATCAAGTATACGGGGTAGACAACTTATAAATAATAATTCCAATACAGCGCCGGAACACGCAACTAAAGCAAAAATATTACGACACATTGAACATGAAGTGGATGTAGTATAAAAAGCAATAAGTTTAATATTTTACTAAACAAATACAAGAAATACAGAGAAAAAATACAACAGAGTTTATTTTAATTGTACTGACCTGAATCTAAAGATGTTATTAATTTAAAATATTTTATATAACATTTTTAAAACATTTGAATTTGAATGTTTTATGAATATATTGTATAATGTTTATAAAATAAATTATATTAACATTCAAATAAAAATAATATACTAGGAAAAGGACTGGATTGATACAATTGACATTTGATTTTATATCTTACGAATAATAAAGACAGTATGGAAGTTTGCGTAGTTTGCATATTTTCGTAAAACTTCCATTTCTACCTGATCTTTTAACATATTCCAATCGTATCGAACTCTATCGAAGATATATTTCATCTATGATCACAAATAAAATATCTTATTGTGTGAGTTTTTTGTGTTTATGTCTTATTAGATACATTTACTATTCTCATAAATTTTCATCCGTTTTTTAATATATTGAATAATTATGTCATACCATATGTTGTTATATAAATTAGGAAATAGAAAAACTAAAATGGATTAACAATATTAAATTAATAAAATACTAAAAGTATTAAAATAACTGAAATGTTTTAACAAAAAACTCTTACAACAACAGAATTCCAAATGCGTTTAAACTATGTAAATACTTACCTTATCGCTGAGTAGGAGACCTGCGTTATATTTTACAATAAATATACAAGTAATAGCAACATACGACAACATTTTCATAATATCCTTGAGGCTGTACTGCTTTATAAAAAACGGAATGCACTGCAAGCAGTTACCTTATTGAACGAATATAGCAACTATGTAAATAAACACTAATTTACGTAAAAAATAATGTCTCTAATATTACAGAGACTTGACAATTGTTGTATCAAAGCGACTTGACGTAACCATTCATTTAAATAAATAAAATACATGTAAAAAATGAGAAATTTAATACCTGGCATATTAGAAAGGATATGAATAACGTTTGGAAAAAAATTATTTGTACTTTCTTGAAAGTTGAATTTTGATAAGGCCACAGACCGAGAGACAGCAGAAGAATTCTATTCAGCTTATAATACCGTTCTCCGGCGAAGTCCATCTTCTACGAAAGCTAAAATGCGTATGTCAGGAAGAACTCTGGAAAACTGTGTTTCTTCCTCTATGTATCAAATTTAGATAGACAATGAGTTTTTCTTTCTTAGACTCATAAGATAATTGTAAAGGTGACGTTTAGTTTACCATGAGATAAATAGCAGATGTGAGAAACTCATAAAGCACCGGTAAGGGAGAAATAGATTTGTGTAGTAAATAAAGGAAATAAAAAGTGAGAACAAATCTGCCCCATTTTTTTTGCATTCGATCTTGGTCACAAAGTAGATACCAATCGAAAGGTCTCGTCAAGATGATCGCAGATATGTTCAGAGTGTACCTATTCAACGTTCGGAAGATATCGGTTTCCAAAAATTTCCAGGACGCAATTAATGTGACCGTCAGGACAGATAGGTACCAATCATTTGTTTGAAATGGATGGATTGGAATCTTTGGAGCTCGATATCTGTGGAACGTTAAATAGGTAGGTACAGCTTGAAACTGACATATCTGTAATCAGCTTGACGAGACCTTTCGTTTGGTACCTACTTTGTGACCAAAATCGAATGCGAAAAAAATGGGGCGATTTGCCTGAGACATTTGTTCTCACTCTTTCCTCGATTTTCTCCCGCCTCAACTATGAAATGAATAGGTCAATAAAAATGGAATTATCGAAATTAGAAAAACACATTGTATACTTTTTCCTTAGAAATAGATGTCATTTTATGTCAAAGATTATAAGTTTTATCGACCTCGTTCGACTTTGTTCTGGTGTCATACATCGTATTTACAACGTACATATAGTACTCGTATATGTCGCTTGTAATTCATAATGGCTGCGTAATTCACGCGTAAATTAGCACCCGAACGCGGCGTAGTGACACAACATGCCCTTGTACTCAAAGGAGTATTTGCGAGTCTCTTATAAGAGATTATTAGCTCCACAGGATGGCGTATCTATATCGCGTTGAGAGAACACCAATTTGTGAGCTCTCTGGTTCCGCAAGTACGGTCGACAAGAACTCGGCGAAACTGTTGAAACAACCTATTTCAGCCTGCTTACAATTTTTTTCGCTTAATTTACCCGCAGGAGCATCGCAAAAATGTTAGTTGAGCTTTGACTCTCTATAAGAGATGTGAGGTGTGGTTAGAGACCCTGATTAGCCATACTTCTCAGGAAGTAGTTCTTCCTCTTCTGAGATATCCTCTTCCCATTCGGATGCCTTGTTGATTTTCCGTCGAGGATTGCTAGTGAGTCTTTATTTGCACTCAGGCTATTGAAGTTTTGAATCATGTAGGCAACATAAAATTTTATGCATTATATATTTAGCGCTTGATCATATAATGTTATATTGAAAAAAATTGAAAAGTAAATTATACTGCACCGAAAAAGGGAAATTACATTAGAAATACATTATTAAGTAGTTGATATTATTGTTAATGAAGGAAAAGTAATAAAAAAATATGTCTTAATCTATGACACAATAGCAATAATTAAAAAATGCATTGCATTAATATTTGGTTTGATTTAATGTATTAATAAATATGTAGAGAAGTACATGTAAAATGTACTGTACATATTCTAGACCTACGGCTGGGATATTTAAAACGTAATTATTACTTCTTTCCGCTTTCGTTGTGTGTTCCCACGGATTGAAGTACCATAACATAAGATACAGACATACTTATGAGCTGTAAATATTATGAATAATTAGTATTATATACTTCTCTCTCATGGGATTCATCAAAATTAAATAACCCGTAATTCCTTACCGAACTAAAACCTTCTAACGACGCGTCAAATAAACCTCCAACTAATAAAGTACTCCTTTTGTTACTACGTTGTATTATGAGTAGTATCAACTTTTGCATACATAATGGCGCAGTATACCACTGTGCATTATACCTATTAAGACAAACACAGATATACAAAGCAATATAACAATTAATATGAATTAATATATTTGAATAAATGACATTTTTAAATAATCAAATAGACCTCTTGATTTGAGTTCTTAGTTAGTTTGACAAGTTTTATTTAACGAGATGAAAAATTATGTATTCGCAATTATTCACATTAATGACAGTAAATTGTAGAGTTGCAAGAATATTATTGTGAATACAATTAAAATATTGTAACATTCGGACGACATGTTTACTTACGTCGCTTCAGAAATGCCAGTGCTGCTATCTATAATGTCCTGTCCAATATAATTTGCCCGAAAAATAAAATATAAATGTAAAAGTAAAAGGGAACCGCACATCACTAATTCCACTTTTTCCAGGGCTGTTACCGCATTAATTAACTTGAATCGAGCATTATTTATTAATTATACATATATCTCTTGTGCAGTTTTATATTATTTGTATATCACAATAATAATTAATTTTGAATAAATGTTCGAATAAATTATATTCTATTTTTTCGCAATACATGCATTTGCGCTTACGTTAAAGCAACTGAGACTCATCGAAGACACAGCAAGTACTAATACCACGATATACATTGTTGAAAAACTGTTTGTCCAAATATTGGTTAAACTGTAACAGCAAAATATGTTTTTATTATTCATTCATAGCAATAATATTAAAGCCTTTACGCTCAACCTTTTTTGCGGCGATTTTTAGACATATCTTATTGTAAGTAAAATGACAGTTCATTAAATTCTGCTGTTTTTAACTTCGTTTATGAGTTTTTTCTTTTATGAACAAAAATTAATATTTGTAATATATCGCGATAATAATTTGGTTTCATTCAGGCAAAGTAAGTTACGAGTGCAAAGCAATAATATACTTCAATACTAACTCCAAAGCTCTACGATGAACATATACAGCGTTTATTATATTGTTATAAACTACAGATTGTTTAATATCCTTTGGCATTGGTTGTACGTTTTTATCAAATATGTGTTCCATTCGATAGCTATAAAAATATGGATGTATAGATATTAAACTTGTTCTTATGTTAGTTTTTTAAATGAATTAATGAAGCTTGTGATATTTAAGACTCATATTTTTACCTGGAGATTCTAAACAAAGCGCAAATGTGCAAAACGTATGCTATTAGTATTGTTTCAATAGCCATTACTGTGATGCTTCCAGCATAAACATTAATGCAAATATGTGTCAAAATAGCGAAAAAGTACGTTTCCTCATCAACAAAGTATTCCACATTAATTATTGTGTGTCGCGGTCGCGATTCATTCATTGGTATAATCACATCAAATAGATGGGGTAGACACATTATTAATAATAATCCCAATGAACCGCCAGTACTCGCAACTAAAGCAAGTGAATGATGACGTGTATTGAACGTGGTATGAAAAGCAATAATACAGCGATTAAAATTATACAACCGGTATTAATTTATTTATATTGGCAACAACTTAACGGTGTTGTGTTTTAAAATATTTTATATAACTTTTGTAAAACATTTGAATTTTTCAAGGATACGAATATAATGTGTAATGATTATAAGTCGATTTAGCATTCAACTAAAATTGATATACTAGGAAAAGGAATTGATTGATACAATTGACATTTGATTTTATATCTTACGTATAAGAAAAGTCGTATGGAATTTAGCATTGTTTGCATATTTTTTTATCACTTCCAATTCTGCCTGAGTCGTTAGCATATTCCAATCGTCTCGAACCCTATCGAAGATATATTTGATCTACCACAAATAAAATATTTTATTCTGTTTTTTTGGTGTTTTATGTCCTATTAGATACTTTTTATTATTATCATGTAATTTCAATGGTTTTTAATATATTGAATAATTATGTCATAATATGTATATGATGTTATTGAAATCAGGAAATAGACAAACTAAAGTGGATTAAAAATATTAAATTAATAAAATATTAAAAGTCTTACAATAATTAAAATATTTTACCAAAAACTCTTACAACAACAGAGTTCTAAATGCGTTAAAACTAAGTGAATACTTACCTTATCGCTGAGTAGGAGGCCAGCGTTATATTTTACAATAAATATACAAGTAAGAATGATGGTCGTCAACATTTTGGCAATATAATTGATGCTGTATTGTTTTACAAAAAATGGGATACACTGAAATCAGTAACCTTATTGAACGAGTATAGCAAATATGTAAATAAACGCTAATTTACATAAAAATTTATTCATTCAATATTACAGAGACTTGTCATCAATTTTTGTATCAGTGCGACATAGCGTAAATATTTATTTAAATAAATAAAATACATGTGGAATATGAAATTTAATACCTGACATATTAGAAAGGATATGGATAACGCTTGAAAAAAGATTATTTGTACTTTCTTAAAAATTGAAATGTGATAAGGCCACAGACCGAGAGACAGCAGAAGTATTCTATTCAGCTTATAATACCGTTCTCCAGCGAAGTCCATCTTCCACGAAACCTAAAATACGCATGTCAGGAATAATTCTCCAAAACTGTGTTTCCCCCTCCATGTATCGAATTTAAATAGACGATGAATTTTTCTTTCTTAGACTAATTGTAAAAATGACGTTTAGTTTATCGTGAGATAAATAGCATATGTAAGAAATTCATAAAGCACCGGCAAGGGGGAAATAGGTGTGTGTAGTAAATAAAGACAATAAATTTCCTCGATTTTCTCCCGCCTCGACTATAAAATGAATAAGTCAATAAAAAGGATATTACCAAAATTAGCAAAATACATCGTATATTTTTTCCTTAGAAATAGATGTCTTTTTATGTCAAAGACTATAAATTTGACGGGTAACTTTACGGATAACTATCACTATTATATCATTATACCTAACCATCACTTTATTATGATAGAAATTGACTTCGTTCTCATATAACGTCTCCACAATATACACAGGAATAAATGTTTAACTTGAGACTACAAAATATCTGGAAATGTAATTTTCGTGTATGTTCCAATACGCCACAATTTTCAGTAATTGGAACACTATTCCAACAGCATATTCCTGAGACCAAATGAAGTAATAAAGTCCTGTATTACTTTTCACTCCGACATACAGTTAACGAGATATCATAATGTCAACATTGAAAAAGTTATTAGTTTTCTTTTGTATACCTTAAAAAAGTATTAGGCAAATAAAAAAGTATTAGGCAAATAAAAAATTTCAGACAAAAGTTGTTGATATTAATTAGTAGAATAAGACAGTATAATAAACAATAGGGCTTCCCATTTCAAATTTCAAAGTTACCCCCCCACCACACCTCCAGGGAGGGCGGTAGGCGAATAACTTTTGCGGGTTGGGATTGCCCCCTTGGAAATATTCAGGGTTTATATGGAACACATTTTTTCGTACAATGCTTATTTTGCCAGATATTTTCCAGTCTCAAGTTAAAAACTTACCCTATATACGTACAATAGCAACACTTTTTATATTTCGTATTTATTAATGAATTTACAGCTTGGACTTTAAAAAGTTGGATGTAACAGTGCAATGATGCAACAAACGTTTTGCAGAAGTGTGGAAAATGCAGATTATTACATGTTTTATTGTTTATGTATAAAGAAGAAAGGTACACATTGATTACCTTTCCATTGCTTATTACCTTTCCAATGTGTGTTCAACAATTCACCGTTCCATTACTTCTACAGTCGGTAGACATTGCACTTTATTATTCCTGTTAACGCGATGATTGTTGTGTAACGGTTCGTCTAATTAGAAGAACTTCATTATTTAGCTGAAAGAAATATCGATGCGCGTGTGGAATATTATCAAAGGCGCTTATAAAGTACGGCGAAAGTTTGGGAAACCACCATGCGTGACGCACATAGGTCTTTAGTGTACTCACGTGCGTACGTATATCTATCGCTTATGGCTGTGTCATTCATGCATAATTTCGCACCCAAATGCTGCGCAGTAACACAGCGTGTCCTTATATTCTCAAAGAAGTATATACGAGTCTCTTATAAAAGACGATTAGCTCCATAAGGTTGCGTATTTATATCACGTTGAGGTCACCGATTTGTGAGCTCTCTAGTTCCCCAAGTTCGCTCGACAAGAAGTAGACGGAACTTTTGAAACGGTTTATTTTTGCCTGATTAAAATTTTGTTTGGATTAATTAATCCTGGCCGAAGGCGCTTGCAAAACTGTTAGTCGAACGTTTGCTCCCTATAAGAGATGTGAGGTGTGAGAGTGACTCTGAGTGAGCCCTATTTTTCAGATGGTAGGTCTTCCTCTTCTGAGATATCCTCTTCCCTTCGATTGCCTTGTTGAGTTTCCTTCGAGGTTCGCTAGTGAGCCTTTATTTGCACTCAGGCTATTGAAGTGTTGAATCATGAAGGTGACATTAAGTTTTATGCATTATATATTTAATGCTTCATCACATATTATGTTATATTGAAAAAAAATTGCAAAGTAAATTATATTAAATATCTGCACCAAAAAAGAGAAATTACATTAGAAAGATATATTTAGTTAATATTATTGTTAGTAATGGAAAAGCAAGATAAAAAGTAATCCAAAAATATACCTAAATCTATGACACAATACCAATAATTTCCAAAAATAAAGAAACTGCATTGTACTATTTTTATTTTACTTGATTTTATTAACGAATACGTAGAAAAGTACAAGTAAAATGTACTTTACATATCGTAGACCTACGGCTCGGATACTTAAACGTAATTATTACTTCTTTCCGCTCTCTTTGTGTGGTCCCACGGATTGAAGTACCATAAGATAGGATACACACATACTTAGGAGCTGTAAATATTATGAATAATAAATATTAAACATCTCTTTCTATCATGGGATTCATCTAAACTAAGTTACTCGTAATTCCTTACTGTACTGAAACCTTCTAATGACGCGTCAAATAAACCTCCAATTAATAGAGTACACCTTTTGTTACTTCTTTGTATTATGAGTAGTATTAATTTTTGTATACCTAATGGCGCAGCATACCACTGTGCATTATACCTATTAATACATACACAGATATACATAACAATGTGGCAATTGATATGAATTAATTAATTAGATTAAATTACATTATTAAATAATCAAATAAACCCCTTGATCTGAGTTCTTAGTAAGTTTAACCAGTTATATTTAATGAGGTCAAAAATTACGTATTCGCAATTATTCGCCTTAATTAGAGCCAATTATTATATTACAGCAAATTTTATAATTGCAAGAATTGTGCATATAATTAAAATATTGTAATATTCGGACAATATAAGTTTACTTACGTCGCTTGACAAATGTCGGTGCTGTTATCTATAATGTCCTGTCCAATATAATTTCCCAGAAAAATACTATATAAATGTAAAAATAAAATGGATCCGCACATTATTAATTCCACTATTTCCGGGGATGTTACCGCATTAATTAACTTGAATCGAACATTATTTATTAATTATATATCTTTTGTGCAGCGTTATATTAAATGTGTATCACAATAATAATTAACCCATTTCGAATAAATGATATTCTGTCCTTTCGCAATAAGTGCATTTGCGCTTACGTTGAAAATACTGAGACTCGTTGAAGGCAAAATAAGTACTAATAATAGGAGATATATTGGTGAAAAACTGTTTAGCATAATATTGACTGAACTATAACAGCAAAATTTGTATTTATTATTCATTCATTGTAATAATATTAATTCCTTTGCGCTCAACCTTTTTTGCGGGGATTTTTAAATATATTGTTGTATATTAGACTTTAATGTTCAAGAATTGAGAACACGCTTTGAATGTAGGGACTTTTTTTAATTCACCACTATTACTTTGGGACCTTCGTATGCTCTCTTTCTTTTCCTCTCGAGTATAGCCGCGACGGAAAGATGTGTAGTCGCGTGCGCTAATAAAGAGGCTTATTTAAAAAAGTGATAAGTGTTTTATGCTCAGTACTACTGATATATCCGACATATACAGGGTGTCGGATTCGATTTGGACGACTCCAAAGATTATAGTAGATTGGGTCAAACTGAGAAGAAAAGTTATATACCATTTTACAAAATCCGTAATTATTATCGCGTAATTAAGAAAAACGTCTGAGCCAATAAGTACACGGAGGAGCGGAAGGTCGGACTCGGGAGACATGCAAAATGGTGTATTTGTTGACATCTCTCAAGATCCGATAGCGAGAGGTGCAATGGAGTCACGCATCGATCGATGAGAGACGGTGGCGAGCGGAGCGGTGAGCGGGCGAACGGCGCGCAGCGAGCGAACGCGCGACATATGACACCGCGCCGAAAAAGTTTTTCTGGTGGTAGGAGAATAATACACCATTTTGCATGTCTGCCGAGTCCGGCCTTCAGCTCCTCCGTGCACCTATTGGCTCAGACGTTTTTCTTAATTACGCGATAATAATTACGGATTTTGTAAAATGGTATATAACTTTTCTTCTCAGCTTGACCCAATCTACTATAATCTTTGGAGTCGTCCAAATCGAATCCGACACCCTGTATATAATTGTTACAAAAATATCATATTATTAAATTCTGCTGTTTTTAACTCTTTGCTTGTGAGTTAGCTCTTTTATGAACAAAAATTAATATTTGTAATATATCGTGACACTAATTTGATTTAATCCGAGCAAAGTAGGTTACGAGTGCAAAGGAATAATATTCTTTAATACTAACTCCAGAGCTCTACGATGAACATGTACAGCATTTATTAAACTGTTATAAACTACAGATTGTTTAATGTCCTTTAGCAGGAGTTGTACGTTTTTGTCAAATATGTGTTCCATTCGATAGCTATAAAAATACGGATGTATGGATATTAAACTTGTTCTTTTTATGTTAGTTTTTTAAATAAATTAATAAAGCTTGTGATATTTAAGGCTGATATGTTTACCTAGAGATTCTAAACAAAGCGCAAATGTGTGAAATGTATGCCAATATTATTGTTGTAATAGCCATTATTGTTATGAATCCAGCATAAAAATGTATGCAAATATGTGTCCAAATAGCGAGAAAGTACGTTTCCTCATCAACAAAATATTCCACATTAATTATTGTTTGTCGCGGTCGTGATTCATTCATTGGTATTATCACATCAAGTATAAGCGGTAGACAAATTATTAATGGTAATCCCAATGAAAAGCAAGTACCCATAACTGAAGAAAGTGGATTATGACATGTATTTAATGTGGAATAAAAAGCGGTAATACAAACCTCTTATATTTTACTAAAGAAATACAAGAAATACAGAGATTACAATTATATATCCGGTCTTAATTTACTTGTATTGGCATCAATTTAAAGGTGTTATGTTTTAAAATATTTTATATAACTTTTTTTAAAATTTAAATTTAAATATGAATGTCATGTGTAATGCTTATAAAATGAATTAACATTCAAATAAAAATATTATGCTAGGAAAAGGACTCGATTGATACAATTGACATTTGATTTTATATCTTACGAAAAACAAAGACAGTATGGAATTTTGCGTCGTTTGCATATTTTCGTAAAACTTGCACTTCTTCCTGAGCTTCTACCATATTCCAATCGTATCGAACACTATCGAAGATATATTTGATCTATGATCACAAATAAAATATCTTATTCTGTAAGTTTTTTGGTGTGTATGTCCTGTTAGATACATTTACTATTCTCATATACTTTTAATGGCTTTTTAATATATTGAATAATTACGTCATAACATATGTTGTTATTTAAATCAGGAAATAGAAAAACTAAAATAAATTAACAATATGAAATTAATAAAATATTAAAAGTATTAAAATAATTGAAATATTTTAACAAAAAAACTCTTACAACAACAAATTTTCAAATTCGTTGAAACTATGCAAATACTTACCTTATCGCTGAAGAAAAGGCCTACGTTATAGTTTATAATAAACATACAAGTAAGAAAAACATGCGACAACATTTTTATAATACACTTGAGGTTGTACTGCTTTACAAAAAATGGAATGCACTGAAAGCAGTTACCTTATTGAACGAGTATAGCAAATATGTAAATAAACACTAATTTACATTAAAATTTACTCCTTTAGTATTACAGACACGTGTCAATTTTTTTATCAGAGCTACTCGACATAAACATTCATTTAAATAAATAAAATACATGTAAAAATTAGAAATTTAATACCTGGCATATTAGAAAGGATATAAATAACGTTTGGAAAAAGATTATTTGTATACTCTTGAAAGTTGAAATTTGATCAGGCCACAGACCGAGGGCCAACAGAAGAATTCTATTCAGCTTATAATACCGTTCTCCAGCGAAGTCCATCTTCCACGAAAGCTAAAATGCGTATGTCAGGATTAACGCTACAAAACTGTGTTTCCCCCTCCATGTATCGAGTTTAGGTAGACGATGAATTTTTCTTTCCTAGACTTATAAGATAATTGTAAAGGTGACGTTTAGTTTGCCGTGGGATAAATAGCAGGTGTAAAAAATTCATAAAGCAGCGGCAAGGGGGAAATAGATGTGCGTAGTAAATAAAGAGAATAAATTTCCTCGATTTTCTCCCGCCTCAACTATAAAACGAATAAATCAATAAAAATGATATTACCAAGATTAGCGAAATACATCGTATATTTTTTCCTTAGAAATAGATGTACTTTTATGTTAATGGCTATAAGTTTTACGGGTAACTTTACGGGTAACCTTTGAGCCCGGATAATTCAGTTGGAAGAGCATTCACCTGGTAAGCGGAAGGTCCCAGGTTCGACTTCTGGTCTGGTCTTACGGTCAGCCCGTTATTTTTGTCGTCGAAAAATTACTAAGGGGTTCGTCTTAGTGCCTACCTCCCCGAAGGTATATACCCCTATTTATTATTATGGTAACCATAACTGTTACATAATTCTACCTAACCACCACTTTAGTATTATATGCGTCGACTTTGTTGTAGTGTCACACAACGTCTTTACAATATACATACATACGTACAATAGCAACATCTTTCATATTTCGTGTCTATTAATGAATTTCAAACGTTGGATGTAACAGTGCAATAATTTTCCAAACGGCTTGCGGAAGCGTGAAAAATGTAGATTATTACATCTTTCATTGTTTATGTATAAAGAAGGGAGGTACACATTGATTACCTTTCCGTTGCTTAATACCATTCCAATGTGTGTCCAACAATGCACCATTACTTCTATAGTCGGTAGACGTTGCAGTTTTATTATTCCTGTTAACGCGATGACTGTTGTATAACGATGTGTCTAATTAAAAAAACTGTATCACTCAGCTGAAAGAAATATCGATGCGCGTGAAGAATATTGTCAAATGGTGGTTAGGTCTAATGATGTAACACCGCTTATAGAACACGGCGAAAGTGTGGAAAACTGTGCGTGACGCACGTAGGCGTGTAGTGTACTCACGTGCGTACGTACATCTGTCGCTTAAGGCTACGTAATTCATGCGTAAATTAGCACCCGAACGCCGCGCAGTGGTACAACGTGCCCTTATACTCAAAGGGGTACATGCGAGTCTCTTATAAGAGATGATTGACTCCACAAGGTTGCGTATCTATATCACATTAAGGTCATCGATATGTAAGCTCTCTGGTTCCGCAAGTTCGCTCGAAAAGAAGTCGACAAACCTTAGGAAACGATTTATATTTGTCTGTTTACAATTTCTTTGTATTAATTTTTCATGCCCGGAGGCCCTTTGCAAAAATGGTAATCGAGTTTGCTGTCTATAAGAGATGTGAGGATTGGCTAGAGCGACCCTGAGTGGGTCCTATTTCTCAGAAGGTATTTCGTTCTCTTCTGAGATATCCTATTCCCATTCGGTTGCCTTGTTGGGTTTCCCTCGAGGTTCGCTAGTGAGCATTTCTTTGCACTCAGGCTATGGAAGTGTTGAATCATGAAGGCGACAGTAAGTTTCATGCACTATATAATTATCATGTTATGCTTTATCATATGCTTCAACAGGTTCGGTTATATTTAAAAAAATTAAAAAGTAAGGTATATGTCCACGCCGAAAAAGAAAAATCACATTATTGTATGTGTTTTACATATTGTATGTGAATTACACAATAATGTATTGTAGAAGTAAAATAAAAAATAATCCAAAAAATATGACATGATCTACGACACAGTAACAATAATTTTCTGAAACAAAGAAATTCATTTCATTGTTATTTATTTTAACTTCTTTTATTAATTAATATGTAGAGAAGTACATGTAAAATGTACTGTACATATGCTAGACCTCCGACTCGGATACTTAAAACGTAATTATTACTTCTTTCCGCTTTCATTGTGTGTTCCCACGGATTGAAGTACCATAACATAGGATACACACATACTTACGAGCTGTAAATATTATAAATAATAAATATTAAAACTCCTTTTCTATAATGGGATTTATCAGAATTAAATTACCTGTAATTCCTTACCGTACTAAAACCTTCCAACGACGCGTCAAATAAACCTCCAACTAATAACGTACTTCTTCTGTTACTTCTTTGTATTATGAGTATTATCAACTTTTGCATACATAATGGTGCAGTATACCACTGTGCATTATATCTATTAATACATACACAGATATACATAAAAATATAGCAATTAATATGAATTAATACGTCTGATTAAATGACATTATTAAATAATCAAATAAACCTCATGATTTGAATTCTTAGTAAGTTCGACAAGTTATATTTAATGAGATAAAGAATTAGGTTCGAAATTGTTCACATTAATTAGAACGAATTATTGTATTACAGCAAATTTTAGAGTTGCAAGAATTGTGAATACAATTAAAATATTGTAACATTCGGACACTATGTTTACTTACGTCGCTTGACAAATGTCAGTGCTGCTATCTATAATGTCCTGTCCAATATAATTTCCCAGAAAAATAAAATATAAATGTAAAAATAAAATGTATCCGCACATTATTAATTCCATTATTTCCAGGGATGTTACCGCATTAATTAACTTGAATCGAACATTATTTATTACTTATATATCTTTTGTGCAGTGTTATATTAGATGTATATCACAATAATAATAAACCCATTTCGAATAAATGATATTCTGTCCTTTCGCAATACGTGCATTTACGCTTACGTTGAAGAAACTGAGACTCATCGAAGGCACAACAAGTACTAATAACACGACATACATTGTTGAAAAACTGTTTGTCCAAATATTGGCTAAACTGTAACAGCAAAATATGTTTTTATTATTCATTCATAGCAATAATATTAAAGCCTTTACGCTCAACCTTTTTTGCGGCGATTTTTAGACATATCTTATTGTAAGTAAAATGGCAGTTCATTAAATTCTGCTGTTTTTAACTTCGTTTATGAGTTATTTCTTTTATGAACAAAAATTAATACTTGTAATATACAGGGTG